TTCTTTCCTCTTGTGGGCTTCAGTTAAATATTTAATGCATCAAGTGTTATTCAAACTCTAAGCACATACAAATATTAATAGTGGGATCCCACCCCATTACCAACACCACCAATTAGCAAAACAGAAAACGACCATTCTAGTTTTCTATAAATGAACTCAGAATGCTATTTCTCAATTTTTTTCTTCTTTAATTTCAAAATCTCACTGGAAGTCCATTGTTTTTAGTCTGTGTCTGGTATGTGGAGAATGGTATAGTTTTAATTCAAAAATACGTAAATGTGACCTTGCTCTGTATCCCAGTGCTCTGCTAATCCTAATAACAGCCCCCCTCCTAAAATCCTGGAGGCTTGTGAAGGCTTATTTTGATACAGAATTACCTGGAAATCTGTTCTGTCCTGAACCGTTGTCACATCAATGCCCATTTACTGTGCAATCCTGGCCCCTTCGGGGCCTGAAGTTGCTTATAGTTTTATTTATGGTCTTGATTTCAAATCAGAATTAAAGTGACCCTCCAGATGTTGGGGTTCAGTTGCCATAAAGGGGCTTCTAGTTGGAAACCATCAGTTGTGCTTACCTTCCTCCTCCCTGACCACCTCTGTGGTTGGTCTTCTGCTGACGAATGAAGCACAGCCTTCCCAGAGCATCACATGTGCTCAGGGCATTTGCAGTGCAAGAGAACAAACACCCAGAATCATTGCCTAAAGAATCTGACCCTGAGTGGACACAGAATCAAAACCGTATGGTGCACATTTCACCCTCAGTGGCCCAGAAACGCAGGAGCATTTTGGTGCTGATGTTCCCGTAACATCAATATCAGACCCTTTCATGGGCGTGTTAATGATGAAATATTTTAAAATTTATAGATGAGCAAATACTGTCTTTCCATTTCCTTCCTTATCTTCCAAAGCAAAGAAATGCATACAGGGGCAGAAAACAGCCGTTTCAACTCTGTCCTTACACACCCCCCTGACCAGTGAGTCCTGAGCAAGTTCCCTCCCCAGCGGAGGGATTACAACGTCCCTGAAGGTGACACAGAAATTAGTGCAGGGAACGCCCAACCCCCAATGGAAGAACAACAAATCCAGGTTGAATTTGGAAATGGCTAGATGAACTCAGGACCCAGGGGCAGTCAGTTCCCTTGTGTCTTGAACGTGGGTGCAGCAGGACATCTATGGATGGGTTGTGGTGAGCGCTGCACGAGCAAAACATATGAGCGGCCCCTTGCAGAGTGTGCAGCTCAGCGTGATCACAACGAAGTCCAGATACGAGCCCGGTGCAGGGGCATCATCTGCTGGTCACAGGAAAAGGCAAGGCGTCTGCCTCTGAAGTAAGGGCCAAATACCACTTAGTCGGTTCTAAAAGGAATCCACTGGCTCAATCTCAAGTACTGTGGGAAGGCGGTCAGGGAACATCACTGCCCCTGAAGAAAACATTCAGATGTAGGTTTACTGTCCATCTGCTGAAACCCATACAACTACACCTGTGGCAAAGCGAAAAGTGAAAGAATGGTGATCACAGGTGCACACTCTGCGGAGAATAGAATTCTGTGTACCCAGATGACTTCTACTGCAAATTATTCCCTAGTCTCAGCCATTCACAGAAATAAAAAGAGGGGCGCCTGTGTGGCACCCCGTTGGATACGTGTCAGAGTCTGTTTGAGATTCTTTCCCCCTCCTATCCTCCCCCTGCTCTCTCAAGTAAATAAATAAATAAATAAAATCTTTAAATTTTTTCAAAAAAGAAAAAGAAAAGTCAAGCATTCCCATGAAGAATGGACATGATCTGGCCTTAGAATGTACCTACTTCTTAAAGGAAGAGAGGGATGAGTACCCAATGAGGGCAGATCAAACACACTTCACAACACCGTCTATTGTTGGCAATAACCCCAAAGTCTGACTGATGACCCGGAGATCATGCAAAGCCAGCAAAAAGTCATAAGAAAAACACAAAAGGGCCTTATGGTGCCATTTCTAAGGAATGACTTTGGTGGGGGAAAAAAAAAAAGGTAATTTTCAAGTAAAGCAGATTCTCTTAGTCTTGAACACCAAGTAGCAGCGGCGATCCAACCCAGGGCCAGTCCGACAGCGCCGCCCCAGACAAAGACCATCTGGTGTCAGGAGGGAGGAAGCCACGTGTGACAAGCTTCTAACCCACAGAGGTGGAGGACTATCCCTGTTCCTAGGTGAGAACAGACCGTGGGATAGAAGGAGGCAGGGAGGAATCCGTGTTCTCTCCTCCGCTGTCGAGCCCTGCACAACTGACCTCAGCTAAGCACATGGGCACGCCCCGAGCAAAGCAGTGTGCTGGAAGCATCTGTGATGGGTGACAACACCATGAAGCCAATAGCCTCTCACCCGGACACAGCAACAGAGCTGATGATTACACTATTCAAAACTACCCCATATGCACCAGGGGCGTGGGTGCCATCAAAAATAATGCTAATTGGAGAACTAACATATACCCGGCATATTAAAAGCCTTATCTTTAATCCTCACAGCACGCTAAGCAGACATTACTTTATCCCCACTTCTCCGATAAGGAACCTGGAGATAAAGAAAGTTAAGTAATATGTCGAGAGTCAGTCACACATCGAGAAGACGCCCAGGCTCCCATGGGCGGCCGCTGCCTCTCTGACTGATTGAAGATCAAATGTGAATCTTGGAGAGGAAACAAAAGATCCCCAAACACTAGAAGTGATCTGAAAAGAGATGATCACCACAGGAGATCCAGCACATCTAACACTTCCTCATGACCCCTCAGCCAACTTGCTGAATTCGTAGATCGTGGGGTGGGACAGGGAGGAATATGCCAAAATACTTGAGGACTTTAAAATTTTTCTTCTGGATCCGAAAGCATCATGCATTGTATTTGCAAATATAGATTTAAGGCAAAGGTCTTCTGAGAGAGTGTAGTACAGTACAGGGCATTGCTCCACACTGGAATCCCCAGGCAGGCAGGCAGGGGTCTCTGGGGCCAGGAAAGACACAGAGCATCCTAAGAAGCAAAGGACAAGGGGCGCCTGGGTGGCTCAGTCGTTAAGCGTCTGGCTTGGGCTCAGGTCATGATCCCAGGTCCTGGGATTGAGCCCGGCATCGGGCTCTCTGCTCCGCGGGAAGCCTGCTTCTCCCTCTCCCACTCCCCCTGCTTGTGTTCCCTCTCTCGCCGTGTCTCTCTCTGTCGAATAACTAAATAAAAAAAATCTGCAAAGGCAAGAGCTCCAGATTAAGTGTTGCACTGAAGAGTGGCCGGGAGGGAAGAGATGAGAACCTACAGAGATTTAATAACTAACCATCTCACTTCTGCTTTTCCAGGGAGGTACCAACAGACCCAGGCGCTCCCAGAAAGCAGGCACACGGGAGTCTATCTTTTCCACATTCAGAAAATCCGTGGCAAGGGTAGGAAAGCTCCAGCTCTGGGAGAAAATGCCAGTGTCTTCTTTTGAGAATTGCTCTGCTCTTCTGTGGCCTTCAGTGGGCTCTGGGCGGGAGGCGTCTGCTGTTAATGTGCATGCGTACCTGTGCGTAGATGTACTATGGATGTAGACACACAGGAAGTAGAGTTTGATGGCCTCTCTGGGGTGATAAAAGTTCTGCAGGAAAGCTGAGCCTGTAGAAACCTCCTTAGAGCTTCCAGGGAGCAGTTTCTAATCTACAAGTCATTTGCAAGACACAAGGCAGGGACCCAAGGACTGCTCCAGAAGAATTTTAGGTATGAACAGTGAACTCACTAACTTCTTTCCCCCTGGTACTGCTTGAAAGAAAGAAAGAAAGAAAGAAAGAAAGAAAGAAAGAAAGAAAGAAAGAAAGAAAGAAAGAGAAAGAAAGAGAGAAAAAGAAAGAAAGAAAGAAAGAGAGAGAGAGAAAGAAAGAAAGAAAGAAGAAAGAAAGAAAGAAAAAGAAAGAGAAAGAAAAAGAAAAAGTCTCACAGGACTGCTTCAAATTTGCTGAAAAGCAGAACCGGACCACAGCTCCTTTCAAACCTTAGGTATTTTCGATACAATAAACCCCTTCAGGACAAGTCCCAGTACTTAAAAGCATCTCTCCACCAGAGGTGTTCTCTCTACCTTCGTGTTTTCTCAAGCACTTGTTCAAAAACACATTTAAGTGGAATGTTTTCGTTTCTGCAGATTGCATTAATTATGGGTTTGCAAACACTGCAAGCCCATGAGGTCTGCCCGAGCTGGGGGCTGCAGACACCCAGCCTGGGCCGAGGCCGGTGGCTTGGCTCGCGCCCTGCACATAGCTCCAGGCTTGGCCCTGCGCGCTGCCGGCCAAGGCTGTTGCAGAGAAGTTTCAGCTAAGAGAGAAAAACACACAGCGGTCAACCACGGTGACCCACGAGCTCGGGAGCGCGCCTGCCTGCGCGCAGCACCCTGACCAAGAGAGGACCCGGGAAAGGGGACTGCAGGACGTGGAGACGCCTCGTCCCTCAGCTTCTGCCTGCTGACACGAGTGAAAATAGTATTTATTTTAATGTCATCTGCTTCCTCCTAGATTCACTTGGGGAGGGTCTCTGGGCCAGGCAGGCGAACCAAAGGGGGCTCAGGAGTAGGACCCACGACTGGCCCCTCCTTCCCGCAGCAAGCGGCCGCCGGTCCGCGCGGTGCCCACGCAGGGCCGGAGTGACAGAGGGACGCAAGGCCGAGCGCGCTCCAGGCTTGAGGGACAGCAGTGAGTGGGCAACCGTGCCCCCGGTGAGGCGGCCCTCGGACGGTCCGCGGGGCGGCGCAGGCGTCCCCAGCCTTGTGTCCGCGCCGGGCCCTGCCCACCGTCAGCTGGAAGCGCAGGACCCCGAGAGGACCCCCACGCGGTGGTAAGACCCCAGAAGCCCACGCAGCCGCCTGGGGACCGGCCTGGACCCCACCTGCTCGGACCCCGCAGGCGGGAGGCGGCGCCAGGTTCCCGAGGGTCACCTGCTTCCCGCGCCCGGGAGCTCAGGCAACAGGGGCCGGCGGGGACCGAGTTGGGGCGAGGCGGCCGGGTCCCCGCGGGACGACTCACCGTGAGCGCCGAGAACTTCTGCGCGGGCGCCGGCGGGAGCAGCCCGGCGAGCAGGGGCAGCCAGCAGAGCTGCGGGAGCAGCATGGTGACGCGCGCCGCACGGCGGCTGGGAGCCGGGCGCAGCGGCCTCGCGGTCCTCACCCCGCGCTCTGGGCGCCGGACTCCACCAGCGACCCTCCGCACGAGCGGCCCTGGGCGTCCTGTGCTGCTTCGCCGGCTGCTGTCAAATAACTCCAGAGCTTCCCGGATCCTCCTCCTGGCCGCTCGCTCCCTCCCTCTCCTCCTCCAGCCCCACCCCCGCGCCGCCGCCGCCGCGCCCCGCTCGGCTCCGCTAGGCTGCGCGCTCCGGCCCGGGCCCGCCCTGGGCGCGGGTCTGCGGGAGCGGGAGGTCGAGAGGGGCCACCAGGACTGCGCCGCCGGTTAGTGCTGCGTGCGTGCCGGCTTCCCTGCGCGCGCGCGCGCACACACACACACGCGCCGCGCCCCCGCGCGCACACACACACACGCGCGCGCACCCTAGGAGAGTCCCAGGCACAACCACAAGATGCGCGGAGCCCTTCTAGTGTCCCAGGGCACCGACCCGCTGGGTGCAAGACAGACCCTGCGGCTAACCCACCACTTTACGCCTAGGTCCATCCCCAGTCCCCAGAGTTCTCCTAGACCTCCAGACTCTGATGCTACCTCATCCAGCCCCGAATGTCGCCTCCCATATTTGCTGATTGATTAGCTGGCTTTCCAGCAAAAGAAGCCATCAACACCACGTGGTCCAGAAAATTCACGGAGGGCGGCTGGCCTTTGGCATTTTTTAGCAGATTAATGCATTCGGGGACGAATTTTGGACTCGAGATTCAGGGTCTGACCGCAGTGACAGGGGACAAGTCTGGCGGGGATGTGGCTGTTTCTAGAGCTGCTCTGTCAAGGTGGCTCAGGTGTTTATTCGGGAAGCACAGTGGTGTAAAGGGTGCAAACTCCGCAGTGGGGACGGGTTGGAAACCAAGAGAATTTTGCACACCCAGTCTCTGGATAGTATCCATTGCAGACGACATTGCTGAAATAGTTTAGCCTTGGCTTACAACTTTACAGTGAAAAAAAAAAAAAAAAAAGACTAATTCTGGCTCACACAGAAAACCCAAGAGTGAGGATTTTCAAGAACAAAGCCTCAATTGACTTGTCAGGGGCACTGGGAAAAAGAACAGAAAATCCAAATCTGATTTTTAATCGGATGTTTAATCTGAAGCTTTGGCTAGAAAGGACAGGGTGCGGGGGGTGAATCTCAGGGCTGCATCAGCAAATCCCATGACTGGTCACTGAGACAAAAGCGGTGTTATTCCAACCACAGGGCCCCACACTATGGAGGGAGAGGTCTTCCCACATCCAGTAGGAAAGTGATGGACACAGGATCAGGGAAGATGTGGAAGAAATGTATCTTCCTGAAAGCCACTACTAAGTCTCCTTCAGATTCCAGAGCCCTGAGAATCTGTTGAGTACTTAAACACATTCCTCCTGGCTTGAGGGCTCAGAAGGAAATTATAATAAAACTCTTGGGGCCTGAGAAACAGGTGAGCAAAGCAGCTGCAAATGATTACGTAAATAAGGAATGCTATTAGGAAATGTTAATAAAAATTAAGGTAAAAATAAAGAAGTAAATGCTGCATACCGTGAATTGTAAGACCATCCAAAGAAGAAAATTTACAGTCAGAGCTGACATGAATCCTTGAAAAAGCACTTCCCACTAAAAATTTTATGTTTACTTTCTACTTTAGTTAGAGGACTGCTGATAGTTGAAATGTCGATTTGATATTGTGCACTTCTCTATAGAACTCAGAAGACTTGGACACATGTCCACTCATTCACCCTCATTGACCTCAAGGATGGTACACAAGGAGACTTACTGATCCCCATTTTACAGATGAGAAATAAAAGCAAAGAGGTCAAATGCCTTAGCCAGATCCCACAGGCAGCAAGATCAGGACCAGATCTGGATGCCAAACCCTGTAGTACTGGCAAGTCCACTTCCTTTCCTTTGGAGGCGTGGGGGCCCAAAGGGGCAGAAGAGAACTTGGCTCTCAAAGCCTCTTATTCAAGAAAGATGTGTCAGCATGTCCATCACACATCACCTGCAGACCCTCCGGGAATTCCCAAAAGATAAATGCAGTGGATTTGTCTAAGTCTCTGACAGATGAGTCAGGGCTGGATCCTTCGCAGACTCCTTAACAACTAGAAGAGCCAGTGGGCGCTGGATGCCAAGTGTCACGTTCTTAGAGATATTCGTGGTGGGGTCTGAAGACATGGTCAGTTTCCATTTTTATGGAGACAAACAATATGTTTATTTAAAACACTAGGTCATAGTTATGTCTGTCACTCTTAAGTCTCCAGAAAGTTATGACTGGCATGAATACCAGATAATCGTTCCCCATGAGTAAGGACGCGGATATAAATGTTTCAAAATTAAGACAGGAAATAACTCAATATTTTCCAAACAGTTCCTATAGGACAGACAAGTCTGTAAAAGTTCCCTTCTCTTAGAAATGGGGGATTTTCAAAAGTAATAAATGGTGAGAGTTCATTCTAAAACATGCCTTCTGGATCCAGAATTTAAGTTCCTGTCACTGGTGGAAGTTACAGTAAAGAAGAGTCCGAGAAACTAAAGACCTAGTATTCCTGCCGCGCTTGGATTTATAACCCACTTAGGCCGTTAACAAAACCCTTTATCAGGCGCACCGGCTTACTTTGTTTACCTCTTTGACTATGCTAACACTGCAGTAGGACTTTATTCTTATGATATAATTTTTAATTATTATTCTGGGTAACCTGTGTTTGGCCAGAACACTTTCAGTCAGCTCCCTTTTCCACCTGCATATGCAAATGTGGGATATTTAACGCAAGGTCTGCTGATCCTCAGGGTCACCATTCTGCCTGTCAGCTGCATAGAGCACACCCCACGTCACCAGCCACCTCCACTCACTTCCTTTACGAACACTTCTCCCAGCTTCTGCTTAACCCTGGCAAGAAGAATCTTCCCAGTTCGCTCAGTTTCCTTTAGAGAGATTCTGAGGGCTTGTGATCTCACCTGGCAGTCCCTCACCTCAGTTCTGGGCTCTCATCCAATCCCCAACTCCAGAAACCTGTATGTCAAAAAAAGAGTTGCAGAGAGACTGAGCTGACTGGTCAGGCAGACACACAGTGCTGGGTAAGCTGGCCTCTGCCATGACTGCAAGGTGTGATCAGGGTCACTGTGTGTGGGAGCCCTTTGCCGAACTCAGAGGTTCTCCCCCTATTTTTATTCATTTAAGTAACAGATCATTTGAATTTGTCTTTGTTCTCAATAAAATCATGTAGATAAGCTTATCCTTCCTTCTCAAGATGCCTTATAACAAGTTTTATGACAACACTTTTCAGGCACTTTATGGAAATTTTAAATAAATTGAAATATACTGGGTGTTTTATACTCATTATCTAATTAACTCTTGCAGAAACTCTGCAAAGTGATTATTTTCCAGATGGTAAGAAGGCAGCCCAGGGAGACTACAGGACCTGCCCAGGTTTGCACAACTAGTAAGAGGTAGGAGCAGAACTCAGCCTTCACCCACAGTCTAGGATCTTTCTTCCACGTCAGTGGGCACCCCTGCATGTGTGACAGCTCAGATGCACAGTCAGTGGCTTGCACTGTTTTGCACATTGTTTAAGATCCACCACCAAAGAAGTGGAAAAATACACGTTAGAGTCGTTCTTGATTTACTGGTAAGACTTCAACTAGAATGTTTTCCAAAAGTAAGATTTAATGTTTCCTAAGAAAGACAAATTTGCTACAAAGCCAAATGCAAAATTGCTACTTTGATGGCGAGAACATTCCCTCTAAAGTTGACAGGAGATGCCTGAGCCATTTGAAAAGACGTATTCCTGCTGCCAGGGATCTACTCAATCTACCCAACCGATCTACCATCAGGTCCCAACACGCCGCTACTGCCAGCAGACACAGCACAAGCTTATTGAAATCTATTTGTTTCCATAACATCCAGAAGCTGTTTTTGCCGTTCGTGAAACTACATTTATTAGTACACGAAACTTACAGAATATATCCGTTACAGAGCTAAAAATAATGATCGTTTTAAAAGCCCAACACTATCAAGACTAATGAAGGTGCGAAGTGTGAGCGTGGAGAGGCCTAGAGCCAGTTAATGGCTCCAGATGACCGAAACTGCCTTTGGGTTCTTCCTCCTTATTAACCAGTCTAGGAGTCCCTTCCTCCTCTCTTCACATGAGAACTGCCTTTAGGGGGAAAAAAAGTTTTTAAATGGCAACAGAAATACGGCTTGCCAGAAACACTGCAACGTGTGGACCACACAGATGTGAGTTATACCGACAGAAAGCAGTGTAAGAAGATACCCCAATAAAGAAAACTTTCAATTACCTTCAACACCCCTCCCCCTTCCCTGGCCCAACACACTCGCCAGGATGGCATCCCGCCACACCCCGTGTTCTGCTCCAGCTCTAAGCAGAATATTAAAATGCATCTGCCCAAACTTAGTAGAAGGAAGGAAATAACAATGATTAGAGCAGAAATAAATGAAATAGATACTAAAAAGACAAAAGAAACGATCGCTGAAACTATGCTGGTTCTTTAAAAAGATAAACAAAATGGGCAGATGTTAAGCTAGACTCACCAAGAAAAAGAAGAGAGGGCTCGAATAAATAACATCATGAAAGAGGAGATATTACATCTCTGCCACAGAAATCATAAGAGATTATTATGAATAATTTTACACCAACAAACTGGACAACCTAGAAAAAATGGATGAGGTCCTAGAAACATACAAACTACCAAGAGTGAATCATGATGAGATAGAGAATCTGAACAGATGGATTACTAGCAAGGAGATCGAATCATTAATCAAAAACCACCCAACAAACAAAAGTCGTGGACCAGATGGCTTTTCTGGTGAATTCCACAAAATGTTCAAAGAAAAATGAATACCAATCCTTCTCAAACTCTCCAAAATCTAGAAGAGGAGGGAACTCTTTCAAACTAATTTTACAAGACCAGCATTACCACGATACCAAAACCAGACAAGGGCACAAGAAATGAGAATTACAGGCCAATATCCCTGATGAACAGAGATGCAAAAACCTTGTACAAAATATTAGCAAACCAAATTCAGCATTACATTAAAGGGA